GTTATCTAGAATCTGAATCTGAGTATAATTCATTTCAACTTTTAGTATTTAATTTTGGAAACATATATCTAATAATACATGTGTTGGCATATGATGTTAACAAGGCTTTAATATGCTTTCGTTTTCAATAATACTAAACTTGATGTAACTTCTGTTCTGCTGAGTCTAGGTTAGATTCTGGAATATGGAAAGTATAACAATGAACTTTATATAACAGTGAGTTATGCCAAAATAATAAACACATGACTCAAGAATCTAGACTTTAAACTATAAATTCAGAAGTAGGAGTATAGAGTCTGGGTTCTCTAGATTGTAAATTTTATTTTTATTAGACTCTAGGAACCAGGCTCTAGGCTTCATACTTAGATTTGACTAGACTAGCCATTACTAGACTTGACTAAATTAGACTTTACTAGACTAGAGGGTTGGCTAGATGGCTAGACTAGACTGTTGATGTGAGATTGAGATTATATATTTACCTATAATAATTATTATATAATTATATTATATAATTATAATTGTTTTTAAAGATATATATGGTTAATATGAATGCCTATGATTTGTTTATAGTTTATTCACATCATAATGTTTTATGCACATATATGTATATAGTTGAAACACATATATAACAAATGTTCTCTTCTGTACAGTTAGGTGTATATCTTTGTATAAACATATGTACACACATCTGTACACATATGTACCCACATCTGTACACATTTGTACGTACATATGTACACATATGTACACACATATGTACACATATGTACGCACAGGTGTACACCATTACACGTACATAGTGTACGTCTCTGTACGCCCTTGCACGCACAGGATGTACACACTGTACGTACACGTGCACCGTACATGTACGAGGTAATACAAAAATGCATTTTGTATTCAAAAATTGAATACAAAACCTACTTTTGTATTACTTGTACATAGTGTAGGTAATACACAAGTAGGTTTTGTATTCAAAAATTGAATGCAAAACCTACTTTTGTATTACCTTAGGCATGTGCAGTACAGTTGTGCGTACAGTACATGTACATATGTACAGTCGTACATGTACACATGTACAGTTGTACATGTACACATGTACAGTTGGACATGTACACATGTACAGCTGTACATGTACACATGTACAGTTGTACATGTACACATGTACAGTTGTATACATACACATATACAACCATGAGCATACATATGTACAATTACTATACAATTGTCTATATGCAAATGTGCAATCGCATATATATGTATATACAAAACTATATAATTATATATATACCTTTATGTATAATGTACAATCGTAGACTAGAGGTTCCAAATTCTAGATATATATTTTATGTTATTATTAATTAATTTCAATATGTAATATTTATAAAAATAAAGTAAGTATGCATTTACATTTACATATATATATGAATATATATATATTATTTATGTGAACTTAATAAAATACATTAGTAATGATATTCTATTGTAGTGTTATCAATTGTATCATAAGTTGTGTTTGTTTATATTTTTGTTTTTGTTTAGTATTGTATTTCAAGAAAAAACACAAGATAATTACACACAGAGATGACAGAACACTGGTCAGGTACAACATTGCGCTTCAGCCTGAGATGCTGAATCTGGGAACCGCCGAAGCGAATGGGGAAAAAAACACTTTAGTTAAGTTAGTTATTGGCATCTGGCATTGGCATATTGACATATGACATTTGATACCTTGACTGCAATCCCAGCATGTGGATATCTGCATTTATCTCTATACATGTGGTGGTGATTGTGTCATTGTAGCATTTTACAATCTCCAGGTTTGTAGCAGTTCGGTGAAGTAGATAGCAGCTTGATTGGCACATTCAACCTTGATTGGGTGCTAGAATGAGTGAGAACGCCAGTGCTGCTGGTGTCGAGTCAGAAGTGGCTGCAGCAGTTGCCGAGCCGGCTTCGTCGGTTAAGGGGCTGAAATGTCGCTATTGTGCGAATTGGTCTACATCCAAGTGTCCTTGGAACCTGTTTGGAACAACCCTTGCAATGTGGAATACCAACCTTCCTTGGGCAAAGGGAAAACCATCGAAGCCAGTTGGTTCGTTGTGTAAACCATGCGCAGTGGTAACTGAACTCAATTAGTTATTTGGTTATTTGCCCAAGAGTTTATACTTTTAAAACAATCCCCAAAATTTGATTCTAGATTCTAGTTTCTAGATTCTAGATTCTAGATTATGGTTTGGAATTTGGAGTATGATTTCTAGTTTCTAGATTTATACTTATTTATAATTTATAATATAGAATTATAATTATCTATATTTAGTTATTCAATTAGTTACTATTCAGATTCTTTAGGTTTGGATTCTATTCAGATTCAGATGCCAGATTATAGTTCAGTTGAGTTCAGTTGAGGTATGGGAACAAGGCACGTTCGAAGTCGATTTCCAGCACTCAGAAGACAAATTTCAGCGAGCAGTTGCTGAAAATCCAGCCACATTACATGAGTTTCTTGTGGCTTGGCCTTTGAACTGTCAGACCTTTGCGAGCTAATCATAATGTGAAGTGTGACATTGTGTTCAATTTTAATGTTATTGTCTTGCTGTCTTGCTGCTTTAAGTTCTGTAGAAGAGAATGCTTGGTTGATTCTATGAGTTTTTAGTAATGAAGTCTTGAAGAAGCACCGGGCTAATTTTCGTGATCGAGTCTTGCAGCTTATCATTCCACTTGGCTGAGGCAGTGCGTTCAAAATTGGTGGCAATGAAAGTTGCTAACCCAAAATGTCGCTTCCGTTTGGAAGTAAATGGATTGACAAGAGAGAAGGTTCGAACATCCCAACGGTCTGAGCAAGGACTGAAAGCACCCACAGAGTACTTTGTGGAAGCCGACATCTACACCAAGCAGACCGGAAACACCATCAAGCAAGAGGATTTGGTATGGGAAGAGATTGATGGCGTTTGGAAACAGGGTGTGACTTGACTCAATGTATGGTTGAATGAATGTTTTGTGCTTGTGGCCAGTGTCATGTGCATTTGATTCGTTAATTAATAATTATGAAATTATGAATTATGATTCTGACTATGTGACTGTAACTATAACTATGACTAAGACTCATACTATAACTATAGCTAAAATCTGTAAATGCAAAGGATTTGGCACTTGTCATTTCTTGCTGATCAGTAAGACCATCACCTTTGTATGCAACTAAGGTTAATGTGCGTACAGGAATGCATGGATGGCACAAAAGCATCAACAAGAATTTCAAGGCTGTTGATCGAAGTGTGCGTTTGAATGACGACCACATCATTGACCCATCAAAAGATGTGATTGGCAAGATGCACAGGGATGCAAAGGCAACCGTCTTGAAACGCAAGGCTCCCATTGCGCTCGATCTTGGTACCACAAATCCTATGAAGTCGCAACTCTCTCTTTGCTCCGGAGATGCATTCTCAGTGCATGGGCCCGATGACGTTGCCAGCAACAATGCAGGCGTGGCGTTAGTTTTGTTGTTCAATCCCAATTAGTGGTTTGAGATTGACGTATTTGATTCGACACTATTTGGATTCCACATTTGCATAGCTTGCAAATAGCAAAACATTTGTTATTGTTGATTCTTGATTCTTGATGTTGAATAAATTGTTTATATTGTATTATATAAGTTAAGTTAAGTTACGTTAAGTTTTGTTTTTTAATTTAATTAATTTAATTTAAATTATTTAAATTTAAATTTAATAATAAATTACAATTAATTCTAATTTTATAATAATTTTAATTTATAAAATTATATTATTCTTTACAACTAATTAAATCATTAGTATAGTATAATTCATTTTCATTGGTTATTGACAGTTATTGATTTAATTTATTTACAATATATATTATATATTATTATATATTATATATATTATTATTATATTATTATATTGTTTTATTTGGTTTAAGGTTTGAGGCCAAAGGTGATTATTTTAGTTTCAGGTCTAGAGTTTATATTCAATTTAATATTTAATTAGTTTAATTATATTAATGATTTATTTATTGAATATTGTGTTTTAAATATTAATTTATTTTATTTTGTTTTTTAATTCTGCAAACTATGAATTACCTTTAGTCAAAAGATAGTTTAAGAAAAGTTAAATTACTTAAGGCTCCAAAGACGATAAGCTGAGTAAATGTAATTCTAGATTCTAGAAATTAGGGTGTATATAAACTTAGGATCATATTCAATTGTAAAAAAATCAATAACACATGTCAGAAAAACATTAAATCAAATGCTACTTCAATTTGCATTACAAATTACAATCTTCATCATTAATCAACCAATCATTAGTTATGTTGTCACTAGCTAATATTTATGAGGGTTTGAAAATACTTCTGGATTCTATTCTACATTAGAAATTATAAAGTGTAATTTTAGATTTTAGATTCTAGAATCTAGATTTTAAATTGTATGTGTGTTTTTTTCCTTAAGACTCTCTATGCTCTAGTGACTCCAGTGATAGTGATAATAGAGTGTAGTAGATTAGCACTCTGGAAGCTCGACTTTAGTCTTTATTCTTTAGGGCATCTTAGTCTTAGATTTGATTTACTTTACCCTATAGTTTTTTTATTTACTATATGTAATGCTAATGGTTCTGCTTTACTTGATTTTTGTTATGTTAGCATTTATGGATTTAACATTTGAAACTAATGAACTAATTGGTTATGTTTCAAGTTTTAATATTAGATTGTTTTTTATAATGATAATAAATATTTTATCTTTCGTAGATTCATAAAGTTTAAAACAACTACATACTAATTAATTAATAAATAATAATTTTTGTTTTAATTGTGTTGTTTTGCTTTTTTCTTCCTAGCACAACAAAACTAATCCAAAAATAGCCTAAGTTGATTCACTAAAACATGTTTGAGTTTGGATTTTTGATTGTGATTGATGTTGCCTTTTGAATTTTGACAATGAAGCAGGAGAGAAGTCTCCGAAGCTGCGCGGTGATAGCAGTGACTCAGAGGTGGAAATGCCAAGCCTCAATGCCTTGATGAGATCATATGGGCCTATGGAAGCACAAAAGTCAGCGCGTGAGTCAGGACGTAAAGCAGCACCAAAGAAGAGGGCTGCATCACAGCCCACAGAATCGAGCGCACCCAAGGTGAAAGCTCCCAAGTTGGCTGCGCCTGTGGCAAAGGCCTCTGTGGACACAACGCCAGCTGTCACAAAGGTGGACATTGGAGTTGTTGCTGCCAAGAGGAAGAGCAAACCAGGCAAAGCCAACAAATCAGCTGACAAAGGTGGATTGAATTGTGATGAGATTGATGACGGCAATGACAAGGCAGAGCGCGATCCATCAAGCTTGTGTGAACAGGATGAGATGGTGCTTGAGGCCTACAGAGCCAGATTGGCAGAGTTCAAGGTCATTCATCCTCCTTTGGCTGATGCAGCTTACAAGTCCTATCTTTCAGAAGTTTCTACCAAGGTGACCCTTCTCATCAATGATGTGAAGACCAAGCGACGATCAGCAATGAGAAGGGCTCTGAAACAACAGGATCCCCTATACCTTGCCCTGGCAGACGTGAACGATTCAGCATTGCGCTTGCAGAATATGCTGAAGTGTTCCTCGGCTGAATCTAGATCCCCTAGACTCTAGACTCTAGGATTCTACACTCAGGTTATCTTCAAGTTATGTTTGCATTTGCAGATTCGATTAGATTAGATTCATAACATAAGGATTAGAATTAGAATGATTTGATTAGATTAGATGAGATCAGATTGATTAAGTTACTATTTGCAAAGTGAATAAATAAATTAAATTTACTCCCGACTAATTCCGTTGTTCACAGTTCTGCTCACCATGGTGTATGTTACTGCTGCTGGATCTTATATTTATTTGTTTTGAGTTTTGAGTGTTCAGTTTGAGCTTGTAGTAATAACTGAATTGTGTTGCCTTCGCAGGTGGTTACCAGGTGGTTGGAATGTGTTCGCCGTTTGCTAGGTTTGGCCGGGACAACCAGTATTGACCCTTCGACCAATTTGCTTGAGCTCATGGACGACTTGAAAGTGAAGGAGGCGTACAGCTTCAATGGTGCTACTTTGAGAAGGGCACTGAAGTCTTTGGTAAATGAGAACTTTAGCCAATGCAAGTGGGATGAGCTGACGACGAAAACAAAGGCTATCATAGACAAGCGCTTCATTGTGGACACAGACAAGGTGACCGCCAATGACTTCTTTGGAATGACATGCTGTCAGATCCTGCAAAAGCTTTTGAGGACAGCGACGCAGAAGTTCAAGCCCAAGGACAGCTCATAGAAAACAAACCATAGGACTCTCAGTCTCAAGACTTTGAGTTCACATTAAATCATTAAATTAAATTAAATCATATATATTATATTATATATATTATTTTGTTTTATATGATTCTATATAATATAATATAATAATATATAATATTAATATTATATATTAAAATAATTAAAATATGTTTAACTCCATGCCATATAATCATAAACCGAAATACATCATGTAATTATATAATATATATATATATATATTATAAATTTTAATATATACATATTATATTATTTTTTATTATATTATATGATTAGTTACTAGTTGATTGAAATATTAATATATAAACTTGAAATGTTCAAACGTTAAACAGTCCACTTCATTTAGAGTTTTACTTAAACATTCAATACCATATTTGCTAATAACAGCCACCCACTAATCAGAATCAAAATCACCATTGAATTGTATATTGTATATTGTAATAATATATTGTAAATAGTCTTAGTTGCAAGTTGTAACTGTTCAAGTTTCTTTTGACCATCAGGAGAACTCCTTCAGCGCAAACAACAAGCAAGCGATGGAGGTCACGATTGCTTTCCTTGAGGCATTGGTGACACATTCTATGTTCATAGAAGACTCCTTGGTCGCTGACACGCAGCACGTCTATGGTGTGCTTAAGGCAGAAACGTCACCTCTCGATGACTTCACTAGTTCGCTCACAATTTTGTCCGGGCTCACTGGCAGCAAGACTGTCAGCAAGAAGGATGGAGATTCAACAGAGTTTCTTGGCTTAAGTCTTGGGTCTTGAGTCTTGACTTGACTAAAACAATTTTGAATGTTGAACTGTCCAACTGCTTAACTTAGGACAGGATTGCGTATGTCTCATTCATTTGCTGCCTCTTCAATTGGGCAACGAATTGTGGCAGATGCTCTGGTAATGGCAGAGGTGCGCAAGGAAACGACCGGCGAGATCGATTCGAGTTTGGATGCCATTTTGAACTGTCCCTTCACCAGTAATGCCAATGTGGGTGAGATGTGCATCGTTGGAATTATATTTATATTTATTTTTATTTTTATTTATTTTAATTTTATTTATTTATTGATTAATACTTAAGACTCAAGACTTCAACCTTTAAATTAAAATTAAATTTTAAAAAATAAAGCTTAAAGGCGGTTTTTAGTTTTAAGATTCTAGATTCTAGATTCTGATTCTTAGATTATAAGTTCAGACTTGATTAGAAAATAAGTTTGGTATGTTTTTTTTTTAGTGTTTTAGATTTTAGATTATATGTGTGTACTCTAGACTCTAGACTCTAGACTTTAGTATAGACTCTTAGACTTGATTTTGGACTTGGGTATTATAATTAATTCATGATGAGATTCTGAGATTATATGATGTTTATGTTTGCTCCAACATATGTGGCTCCAAACTAAGGGCAGAGAAGCTGGGAGCAATTCATGAGGGTTGGACGAAAGTGCATCAGAACAAGATGTCGAAGGAAATGCTGCAGGCAAAACTCCAATCCATTGTTCACGCTGCATTAATGACAGTCTCAGCTCATGGGATCTATGAGGCGGGTGTGCGATGTGTTTCTGTTTGTTTGTTTTTTTCTTTTAACTTTTAAATGTTAACTTTAACATGTTTTCTGTTAAGCTGACACATGGAGGTGGGTCCTTGGGCTGAAAGCTCAACTACATCGATTGAATCTCGCAGTGTCTTTTCCCCTCCTGATGTCGAGACATGGGCAGCCTACAAGCACCTTTTTCTGTTGGAGGTGTACAAACCAGCCAAGGCAGCTTTGGACAATTTGGCAGGGCTTTCGAAGATTATGCTTGCGACCTCTGGTGATGGGAGTGAATTGCAGAATTTGCACAAGACCATCAAGTCCAGTACAGAGTCTGTGGACGTCCTGCAGGCTTGGTTAGTTTTGAATTTTTGAATGAAACCTTTGGAGTAAAATAACTATCACTAGATCACTGGACTCAGATTCACTTATAAGACTAACTTATAACTTATAACTAACTACTAGGTCGGGCGCTCATAGATGGCCGTATAGTTTCGTGCACTTTCATCTAACAACTGATACAAATGTATGAATGGTGATATGTCAAATCCTCCACGCTGGCCATTCGAAATGCATGTGCAACTTCAGATGTCCATGTTTATATCTTGGCGTGTCATATTTTGACGTCGAAAAAAACTACTTCATTTGAGACACTTTCAGGTGTATTCACTTCAGTGCATGACTTTTATTTTCATCCACCGCATGTTCGCCAAGTTGTCCTTACTGTGCAAAAAGTCGAGACAGTTGCTCGAGAACCTCGCTTGGATTTTTTTCCCAAAACTGCATGGTTTCTCCATGCCCATTGAAACACTTCTAAAGACACATGCTCATGCAAGGTTGCGTCATCTCCTTTTTTATGTTTTCTGTTGAGAGAGCTGGGAATATAATGTTTCAGCGACAGCCACCAACGATCCATATTTTGCGTTCCTCCGACATTGCTCAAGCCACGAGCCGTGGTGGTAACTTCTTTGGCATATTCATGGTTCTGGTGGGAGACCTGCCTATATTGAATTCCCAAACGTTTGCTTTCTCCTGCCCATGCTTTGTTGCCATCGAAGAAGCAACAGGTGCGTTCTCGTTCTCTAACAACTTGTTGCAAGAAATTGCAGGCTCTCACCTGCTGCAAGGATTCCGTGGGCGGTCGACTTCCCGGCACTGTGACCTGTGTTGGTATTAACAGGCATGGGAAAGAAAATGGTGTGAAACGTACAATTTGGATATAGCAAGCACTGTTTACATAACTTTGGGAAACATTAAAAATACGACAGGAAAAATTGCATCCGTTAATGGAATCACGCAGACACCTTACAATCAGGTCCCCAAACAATGACTTTGCCTCCTCTTTCGCAAGCACCCAGTACCATCACATGCACTTCGAAACTTGACGGGATTGCTTTCCCAGCACGATGCAAACGCGTTGTCAATGAACGAATCTGATTTTGAAACGTAGCGGAGGTACTGCGGACATAGAACTTGCCTAAACTGGTTCCGTCCATCTCCACATTGCCCTTCAAGTGGGCTTCTTGACAAAATCGGCGACCAGCATCTGACTCTTTCTTGCGCAAGATGGCGATCAGGTGGTCTGCCTGCAGAAGGAAAACATGAGGTGTATGCAGAAACTGTTGAACATGGTTGTGTTGAAAAGATATGTGTTTTCTTTCCATTTTCAACTTTTGCCATGGTCCTGCGTTCTGCCAATGTCTGCGAACTGAACCATGTCTGCCGTAGATGGGGCAGTAGTCACATCCAGGCGGGCGTAGACACACAGAGACTTCGCCAATTCCATTGGGGAAGTGCGTATGCCTTCAAAATGTGTATGGCCTAACCAGCTAAAGCGATCGCCACATGGGGAGCACCGAAAATGACCGGCTCTTGGGCCATCAAAGAAGGGCCCTAGCACATTGGCCGCACCGCACTTCGGACACTGCGACAGAGTTCGTACAAACGAACGATGCAGCAACCATTTGTAAGCTTCATCATCATTTTTCCAGGCCATGTTCAAAGAATTCTTGACCAGTCTGCGTTGATTCGGCCTTTTTGCAGCCGATGACACCGGGGACCCGGAATAGCGAATCTTGGCTTTCTTGGCGTAGTCATTTCCACTTCGTGGAGAATTTCTATTTTTGTTCTGCACCCGAAAAACTTTCTTGGCTGGACTTTGCCTTTGAATCTCTCGAACTTTTCGTCTCAACTTTAGCAGCACTGCAGCGCCAGGGAGCTTGCAAGTCTCTAGGCGGTGCGTGGTGGCACCGCAGCAAGCACACTGATGCTTTTGTTTGCCATGATGCCGCGCAGAAGGACGTTTCATCTAATTTTTATTGCATGTTATAGTGAATTATATGTTCCACTATGGCGATGATACGTATTAAGAGAGATGCATCCGTACTTTCCAACAACAGGCAGTAACAACACCATAAACACCTTCTGAGAGAGAAAGAGAGAGAGAAAAGGAAGCGGTTGGGCATTACATGCAACGCATTGTCAAGCAGCCCGGGATGTGGCAGCAGTCACATCTTTTTCTTCTTTCTGAATTATTTAATTGGATACGTGTCTTGATAGCTTGACATGAAGGACTTAATTACTTTCCTTTGTGAAAGAAACCGACGTACATCCAAAGAACTCGTTTGATGTCAGTCAGCTTGCCGAAGACAGCTAATGGCACAGTTCTTTTCTCCTCGTTGCTCAAAGGTCTCCAGCAGCAGCGCGGCTGGAACATCCATTGCGATGCAAGGACAATTTCAAGTCACTGTACTTATCTTTCAGGAATCGAGACAGCTCATGTTTTCTATTTTCCGGAAATTCCTTTTGAAACCAGCAAGCACGGCCATTTTGCGAGCCGTCTTTCCACCAGCCTGAGCAATATAAGACTAGTTTGCCAGGAGTCTTCGAATTTGCGGACAAAACGTGTGGCTGCAGACTACGGGCACCTGCGCACTTCGGACAAGCGCCCCATTTGTACACACGATTGAATTTTTCACCTAATGTCTTGGACGAATTTGATGCTGTTGCCACATTGCTTTCCTGGTCATTTGGAAAAGCATCATAGTTCTGCTTCATCTCCATGCTGCCATCGACCAAGTCTCTCATCATGTCATCCTGCTCTTGCCACAACTGCTGCAGCTTCCCAGTGCGCGTGCGAGGACTGTCCTGGTCATTTGGAAAAGCATCATAGTTCTGCTTCATCTCCATGCTGCCATCGACCAAGTCTCTCACCATGTCATCCTGCTCTTGCCACAACTGCTGCAGCTTCCCAGTGCGCGTACGAGGACTGTCCTGGTCATTTGGAAAAGCATCATAGTTCTGCTTCATCTCCATGCTGCCATCGACCAAGTCTCTCATCATGTCATCCTGCTCTTGCCACAATGCTCGAAGTTTGTCTCGGCGGTGTGGTGGGCTATCATCTTTGTCAGGAAAGTCAAAATACTCTGGCGAAGACGGCGGGGAAGACTTGGAGTC